ATATAAAATAGATAAACAAGAAGGTCCTAGTGCTGGACAGGAAAATGCACAGACTTTCGAGTCAGATAAACGGGTTAAATATTGTCTCTGCCACATACCAGCTGTGCAGACTTAGGAATGTTATTTAATTTCTCTGAATCTTAATGTCCTCAAACAAAATGGAGAAATTAGTATTATAAATATTGTATGTAACACCTAGCATATGTTAAGTACTAAGTAGTTATTAGTCATTATATTGGAATTAATGTATTTCTGAAATAATTCTTCAACTGCCTGTTGAAAGATCTCAAAATGAATTTTTTCACTCTTAAAAATTTTTTCTATTTATAGTCATTTGAGTGCATGTACCTTAAAATCATTTATAGAGAAAATGAATTAATGCATTCAATGTATGAATACAAATGGGCTTATACATTCATTTTTCACCCCTGGAAACTTCTGTTCTAGTCCTTGCTTCAGTCTTGAGTGAAAATGAATTTAACGGTCTGCCTCATCAATAGCCCCATTATCACAAAGCTGCCATGCAAGTCAGTATAATTTAGTACAATGGCCATTCTGTCAGTCTCTGCTCAAAATTAAGCCAGGATCAAAAATAGCAAATTGTTTTACAATTCTTTTCAGCACAGTGACAGAACAGTATCCTTAAGTCCTGCTGCCCATATTATTTTAGCTGTAAACAATGTCATAAACATATTTTATTCTTGGCTTATATGCTCCCGAGCTATGGTTTTCAAGCTGGTCTAAACATTGTAATCAACAACAACTTTAAGAAATAGTTATGCCTCAACTCAAATGCAGAAATTCTGATTTGTTGGTCTTGGGTAGGAGTCAGGCATACACATCAAAAAATAAGTAAGTAAATACCCAGGAGATTTTCTTTGAGGAGAAAATTTAGCCCCTTGCAACTCTTAAGTTGGTCTATGGACCAGAAACTTTGGTATCATTTGGCAACTTGCTAGAATTGCAGAATTACAGGTCCCATTATGGAACTAAACAGAACCTGTATTTGACAAGATCCCTAAGGGAATCATAAGCACATTATAGTTTGCAGACTCCTATCCAAGTTTGCTTAGAATTCACTGAATTCCCTTCCACTTAGGCTATAATTTAGGTGTCTATACAAGGCTCAACAGTTAATATTTCTGGTTACATTAGCAGAAAAAGTAGGAAAAAAAAAAGAGGTGGAGGTAGTATTACCACAGTTATAAATAATTTTGAGCCAGAAAAAAGAATATTTGGATGCTTGGAAAAGGAAACTCATAGCATTTTTAAACATTA